TACTCTCCTTGGAAGTTGTGAATATGAACAGGAGTGCTCGGACACGGATTTGCTGTAGAATTAGGGGACCTGGGGAAGGAGGAGGAACTGCATTCATATAGGTGGAGTATGTGGACAGGACAGATTTAACCCCAAAAGGATTTTGTGTTAATTTAGCCTTTTTTACCACTACTGTAATACTGCTGGAGTGCTTCTTGACTGCAGCTAAATGAAAAATGACTTGCTTCTAGGTGATGCCTTTTTTCACAGGAGCAGTAACTGAGGTGATACATGGGTCATTGCACTAATTTCAGAGAGTGCCCTGTTGAGCTACAGCTTTGGGACATGCAGTGACCCAGTTGACCGTCACCAAAAAGGGGAAGCCTCTCCCACTATTTTCTCTGCTTTCCTTCCCCACTCTCAGCAGTGTGCTCCAACTCCTTACCTTGTGCCACTCACCCTCTAACATCTGAGGGACCCCTCTAGGCAAGCAAATTTAACTCACTGAACTAGCAAAACATTAACCCAGTGGAAAAACTGGGTCATATTCTGCCTGGGCAAGAAAGGCTGAGGACCATATGACTGGAATCTGAGAGAATAAGTAAAGGCGGCAGAGGAGGAAGAGCAAGCCTTTCCCTTTTGGCATGAGGGAGCTCTTAACATTGGCAGCTGCTTGTGAAACTGCACCCTTAGGGTGGGCTACGTAGTTAGAGGATTGAGCTCTTGATCCCAAGCTCAATCCCAGCAGTCCTGCTAGCACACAGACCTCACAGCCCCATGTGACGTGCTAACACACTTCCAACCTGCCCTATCGGGCATCTCATCTGGTGGAGAAAGGGAGGAAGCCATGGCTGACAACCAAGAGGCAGTAGCTGCTTAAACCTCTCAGCTGCAAGGTTAATTAACCCTGCAGTCAGTCCTAATGCATCAGAATAATGCCTCAGGTTAACTAAGGCCACATGTGAGGCTGATTTAAACCAGTGGTTTTCTAATCACTGTACGTATAGATCCTTTATGGGCCTGGAAGAGCAGCTGAGGCAGCATAGCGCCCTGATTTCCATCCATTCAGCAAATTCAAAAAGTCCCTCTACCAGGAAGAAGGGAGAGGCTGATTTTTGTCTCCAGTAGAGAGACAGGAAAATTGCATCCCTCAGAGGAAGAGGTGTTTGCCAATGAAGAACCATTGGCTGTTGTGGCTGCTGGTGCATTTGGCAGATTTTTCCTTTTCTTCTGTTGGAATGAAAATTATTTAAAAAAAAAAAACAAACAACCCAAAACACGACTGGGATATTCTACAGCAGACTGGCTGCAGGAGTTATTTTGCTGGCTAGTAAGAAGCACCACTAGCCTATTGTGGGGAGGGGATCTAGCATGTATGATGGAGGTGTGTGGAAAGCCTCCAGGGAGATTGTCTTGGGCTTTTGTATACCTTCCTCTTTCTTCATTGCCGTGAGCATATCAGGCTCTTTTTGACCAGCTGGCATCCTGGGCTGAGAACCACAGCACGTGGCTTAGGCTGAAGGGTACCTGTGTGTGACAGCAACTCGGGTAATGAATGTTTTTTTTCCCAGGGCAATGGTGCATTGAGCTGAAGTGGCCTGGCAGAGCACGGTGTGCTTGTTCATGAGCACCGTGTGCAGGGCTAGAAGTCCTCTTCCTGGCAGGGCCGAGCCAGGTAGCTGTAGTTGTAGGTGAAAGAGGCAGTTTCCCTGTGAAATTCCTGTGCAGATGGCACGTGGGACAACAGGGATTGGAGGATGCCTTGACTGCCTGGAGTTAAAGAGCTTTGCAGGGAATCTAGCTAAGAAAGCAGGGGGCCCATGTTGAAAGTGTGTGTGGGTGTGGTCAGAGTCTTTTTTGGTTTGGTGTTTTTGTAGGGAGAAAGGAAAAAAACTAGGCTAGGACTTGTCCATTTTTCTTGTATGCTGAATGTGAGATTTTTTCAGGGGATGAGGGGAGCAGTAGATAGTTTCATCTGGAGGGAAGGCTGGCAGTTGGTTTGCAGAGATTGGGGGCCAGGGCAGACAGTGGATATGTATGTATGCGAGTGGTGCATAGGGGGCCAGAGAATTACAGAAAAAGGAAGGGGGGCTGTTGTCTGAAACATTTGGAAGCTGCTGAGGTAAGCAAGCTGCTCCATTCTGTTGACTTGAAGGGCAGAAACAGTTGTCTGACTATTAGATCTCAGTTGGAAATGGCAACTTGCAGCAGGGAGGAGGTAAGGAGGAGCTTCCTAAATCACATCTGGGGAGTAATTTTAAAAGTGGAGCCCTTTCCAGTCTCCGTAATGGTTAGTCAGAGTGATTGGACTCTTCAGTCAGCATGTTGATGTCTGGACCATGCCGTACTGACACACGACCATGATGACCTGCCTGGAGTCACCAGCATTTTATTGACATTTTCTGGACACCAGCTCCTGTAGAGTTGTAGACTGTTCTTCATAGCCCATTCTGCTAAGTCTTGTAACCTGTGCTGTTGTATGTCTGGGTTTCTAAAAAGAGCATTAATCCTTCTTCTGTTCAGTGTGAAATATATACCATGGTTTAGTTTCTTGGCATTCATATTCTTCTATGTTCATTTTTTCTAAGTCCATTTGCCAAGAGTGGACATAATAAATTACACCTTAAAATTTTGGTCTTTATGATCTGGTAGTAAGACAGCTACAGTCACAGGTTGTTCCTGGGTGACTGAAGGCTTCACAGATAAAAAGGACAGTACCTTGCATTGACTCCAAGAGCAAATTGAGAAGAGATGGATGTTCTGGAGCACATATGTCCCCTCCAGCTTCAACTACTTTGTGATTCTGAACTAGGAAGAAAGTTTTCTTTAAGAGGGATCTGTAACCTTTGTAACTTGGAATTTCATTTTCATTGTGCTCCATCTTTCCAGGCATGAGTGCATTGATAACTAACAATTTTCTCCCACCTCCAACACTTCATATCCCTGTTGCTGTCTAGATACTGAGATCCTATAAAAAGCCAAATAAAGGCCCTATGAATTCACATTGAATAGAGGAGTTGACTTGAATTCTGGAGTCTGTATTTTGGCTGACTGGTGTGAACAAGGCACAAACAACTCTGTGTAAAAGGTACAAAGATAACACATAGCAAGAAGGGCCATAAACTTTTTGCTAGCTTGGGTCCCCCCGGCAAGAACCAAGGTAAGGGTCTACATTATATATTTCATATATATATTTTATATATATGACTGGGAAAGCTTGAAGATATCCATAGTAAAATTGTTGCCACTTGGCACGCTGTGCTTTGAGCAATGCATTTTCTCTAACGGGGTGTAAGGAAAAGCACTCTATGTTTGGGGGGGGGAAAAAACCCCCCACCTTTATAGACATTTGCTAGACATAGCTTTAAAGAGAAATATCTCATGTGGATATGTATATGAGATTGGACCTAAATGAAATAAGACAGTGAAATAAATGAAATAAATTCTGCCGTTAATCATGTTACTTTTATTTGAACAGTAAGGTGTGCTTTTAATGAAAGTGGTTTTATTTTTATTAATACTTGCTGCTGAGTTTTGAACAGTACTGTAGCCAAACAATTTTACAAATATAATGCTCAATACACTGTTTATTGCTTATTGGCTTTGTACGGACATAAAAACTGGACACGAATGTAAGAATAAATAAGGCACTCTACTAATGCATTGGGTTTCATGTATTGTAGTAACATGCACAAAATTTCATTTTGCTTTTTCAAGTCACTTTTCTCATTTTCCTTATTAGAGAAAAAATAAATTAGATTTTATTATTTGGGCAAGGGCCAATGTTTGTCTGAAAAGTCAAAACTTGAAAGTGCTTTTCAATTTTTTAATTTAACCATCCACCTTACAAAACTAGCTTTGGTATAGCATGTCCTAATTTCTTTTTCTGAAGACAAAAAGTATTTTTGTTCTTCCTTTGCTGTTACTAGGAAACATGCCTTGCAAGAGGACTGTTCACGTACTGCTTGAGACAAAGGATCTGACTTGCTTTTTTATGCACATTTTCTTCTTGTACTGACCCCGCTCAAAAGATAAAAATAAAAATGCAAAGGCATCTTTACTGACTTATCTCTTGTGTGGCTGGGCCCAAATCAGTGATCAGCACAAGGTGGGAGCTCCACAGAAGCTGGTTAAAAGCCACCTTTTTTTTTTTTTTTTTTTTTTTTTCTCATTAGAATCCCCCTTTTTTTTTTTTTTTTTTTTTTTAATTTCAGTATGCCCTAAATTATGACTTCCCAACAGTTTCAAAATACGTTCTGTCCAACTGTGCTTTTTCCTCAAAGTTCCACACTGGCTCCCACGCTCTTTCAGGGCTGAGAAGAACGATGCCTTGCTCATCCTCACAAACTCGTAAGCCACTAGGGCAGAAATCTATCTGCAAAGGCTTTAATGATTTGACAACCTATTGCTGAGGTGCTGACAAATGATCAAATAAACCAAAGAGACAGGGCTTCGACCCCCCGCCCCTGCTTTCTTTAAACATTGTTACATTCTTTTTAGAAATTATCTGAAACAATAGTAGAGACAAAGGGTTCGGATACTTTTTTTTTAATTTAAAGCAGGTTATATCATAATTTCCTGATATTCTAATGTTTATTCTTTAAAACTGACATGTTCTTGCAGGGTAATATAAACATAACAGAATCATCGCATTTACCAGGTATATGAAGTACATATTACATATATGATAATACCCAGCTTTACATGAACTTTGAAATGCAAGATGTCTTAATAACATAAATTATTACAGTACTGTTTTAAAGGAATCTTTTGGTTATATGTAAACACTATAAATTAGCTGTTTAAAAATAATCATGTAAGACAAGTATGGCATTGACATAGTTTAAAAAACAATAACTAGCCCTAAATCTGAATACTCTCATGATAGAACAGCAAAAGCAGATATCAATCTAATGCTATGGCATAACATGCTGAAATTTTGACTTATTTGAAGAACCAGTGTTTCTTTGTGTTCCCTCCTTCTTTTGCTTTCGTATTTTAAGATTTTCACCATCAGTGCCCTAAGGAATGGGCCAACTCGTACTGTGTGTGACAGGACAACATATGCTATTTCGAGTGTTGCCATTCTAATACTAAAAGCCATATAAATTAAGTCTCCTAAATATGTACTAGTTTAAATTAAAATCCTGAGGAATTATAATCTGTTTACTTAATGGTTTTGGTTAAGTGCAATTTGATGTATGCAGAATGCTGTTTTCGTTTAAGGTCATTCTTAGTAAGGCATATTAAAAATAAATATAAAAGTGACAACATAATATTTAGTTTCTTGCTACAAAATCTTAGGCAAAAAATATTTTTGCATGTAGTAATGGACTTTATCCATTTGCTGGCTTACAGGAGTTAAAATTTGTGCATTAAGCTTAACTGCCCTTGTCAGAATGTGCCACTGTGGTATAATAGTGATCCAAAGCTACATGCTAAAGAATTTGTTTCCATGCTCAAAGATAGCTTGCACAAACTGCTTGAAGACTCTGTCCATGTAAGTGCACTTCCTTGGCCATATTCCTTCCAGAAAACCAATGTGGCCCCCGCACGAAGTCAGAACCAAAGCAACGTTTGCATTTTGTTTGGCAGCTTCTACTGGTATGGCTAAAAGGGAGGGGGGAAAAAAGTTTAAGTCCTTATCCTTCTATGAAATGCCAGCCACCAAATAATTTCTCTTAAATGTTTCTCACGTAATATATTTATAAATGTGCATAATATTAACATATGCTTAAACATACCGCAGCACTTGGAACCATAGCTGTTAAAAGCCATTTCTCTCTTCAGCATTAACTCACCTTATTTGTGTGATTTTTCTGGCTGCTGGAAAAGTTTCAGAAATCACCAGGCTTCATCTTTCTTTCAGTCCCACTGATGGAGCAGCACCCATGTCAATGTATACTTACGATTTGGTATAAATGGTGTAAGTGAAAGGAAAATCACGCCTGTGGTTTTTAACCTGTGCTGCAATATTCAACTTTAGAAAAACTGAGGAACTGGGAACTTAATTGTGAATCTTGTTCTTTTTGTAGGAGACTCCAAACACAAAACCTTTAATGTAACGCTAAGATTTTGTCTTTAAGATATCCTATCAGCTAATATTAAAGAAGATCCTGGGTTATTATCGTTATTATATCTGATTTGCCATACATTTACACCCGCACGCTTAGACCAGACCATGCAAACACACTGGGAGATGGTTCTTGCCCTGAGGCACTCAGAATGTAAATAGGTGAGGTAAACAGAAAAAGAGGAAGGGCAAACCGCTGCACACAGACACGGAAAGCTGCTCCATGTCACTCAACAGGGTAGTGGTTCTCTACTGAACAGTGACTGCTAGAAAATGATCTAATTTGGAATTTAGATTATGAGACCAGATACTACAAGGCACACACTGATCTTGAAATGCACAGAAAGGGAGACTTCAGTGCATCTCATTTTGAATACGCATAGATGTGTGGATTAATGCTATCACCTGGGCAGTTCCCTTTGCGACAGAAAATAAAGGTCAGTTAGCACAGCCAACACGCGTATGACTTTATGAACGGCATTGCAGTCTGGTGGGATGACACTATGGTCGTATGAACTGGTTGACACAGCAGTGGAGCTTTACGGAGCTGTGGTGTTTGCACTCTTGATATAAAAATTAAGTCATTTAAGCAACTTCCTCTGGAGTTTTAAGTATGCTAAATATACGCCTGAACAAGCAGAAATGCCAATACATTTCAGCGAAGAATGCCTGAAAAAAAAGGTTCCTGTTTTCAAATAATAAACTTCATGGAAGGCAAAAAAATAAAATTCATACAGATATTTTGATTATTCAGGATTGACAGAAAAAACGATGACAGAAGACATACTTTGTCCAGGCAGAAGGGAGGAGTAGGAATTTCACTGTATTGTCTAAAACAGGTTGATTCCACAAGAAAATAGATCTGATTTTAGGTCATACACCGACTAAAGACTAAAATGCCTTGGCACTACAACACAAAGCAGCGAGTCATTCACAGGATTTCTATTGCTGGCTCATTTATTTTAACGTATTTTTGAAGAGAGATTTTTAATAGGGTTCACTTTTTGGGGGCTTCAGTTGTGCACATCCCTTTCTGACTGACCTTCCTTCAGAGACAGCCCCAACTCACTCCTATTTCTAGGAGTCTGTTTTCCTTTACCTCTTTATACGTTTGCTATTCCAAAGGTGATTATCCTTGAACAGTCATTATCCCTGCCTATTGCGGCCGCCTTTATAGCCAAGTTCCTGACAGACTCTGCTTTGTGCTTCCAATGCTGATTTGCTTTCATTTTCAGCAACCAGAATAACAGCACGGTGCCCGTTCCTCAGCCAAAGAGGGACCCCCAGCCAGAGTAAGTCACACGAGATCTTGCATGCAATGACTGCCGTAAACAGATGCACAATTTAAAATAGATCAGGGCAGACACGCTGGACCTGCAGAGCCAGGGGAGCAGTCTGTGCCTCAGAAGTCCTTACCCACAGCACCTGGAACGGCACGCTCTGTTCCACACCAGGGCCTCAGCACAGATACTAAACCAACCATATCGGGGATATTTATTCTTTTATGAATGTTGCGTTATAGGTTCCTGCCCGTAACATAAGGTACTTGTTTGTGCCCTGAATGTAGCAATGGGGATTCTCTAGCAGAGTATGTGAGATTCTTTGCTACTCAGTGTTATTTATTTCTCCCGCTCATTTCTTCCTTTCAAAGTTGCATGCATCTAAGTAGTTTATAGATTACAGCATTTAGTAAGTGATTTTGATTCTTTACTAGGTGGAAGAAACCATGCTTCTTACTGTCTCTACAAAAAGTCCTTGACTTTTCCTTTTTTCAGCTGGAAAATTGAAAGTACTATATGCAGGATCTGGGCCTTTTAAAGCAATACTGAAGCAAGACTAAAAAGAAAAGTCAAAGAAATAAAAGCCTAGGGCCTGCCAGCCTTGACTGGGAAACAGCACAGGCTGAAAACAAGAGATGCAGAAAACAATGTGTTATTTCTTGCAATCCAACACATGAATCATTTCCAGACTCCAGACTCAACAAGCACTCATCTGGAGTTTTGGCTCAGTTAGTTAATCTGCCCAGCAATCTCTGATCTGGCCCCCTTGGATTCTGTGGATGAACACATTGCCGTGTACAAAGACAGTGGCTGCAATTCATGTCAGCTTCTGCCGACCATGTGGGAATTTGCCCACTTATCTGTACCAAGCCCTCTGCTCCCCTAGCAACGCCCGGGCCACGTTAAACAGAATCCCGATAGGGAAGTGGGGATCAGACTCAAGCCTGAGTCCCCCATTCATG